TGCTAATTTCTTAGTGCTATAACTTAAGAGTATTTCTCAGTAAGTTTATTCAAATATTTTGGCATTAGACAAGTCTATTCCAGACTCTCTTTTCCCCCCGCTTCAGGATGGTAATGGTTATATTAGTGCTGCAGAACTTCGCCATGTGATGACAAATCTTGGAGAGAAGCTAACAGATGAAGAAGTTGATGAAATGATTAGGGAAGCAGACATTGATGGTGATGGTCAAGTAAACTATGAAGGTAAGGAGCCATGAACTGATCATTTGTGTAGCTGCTTCCACACCACAGTGATTGTGTAGTTGGTACCTACATCAGTTTAAAATTTTAAACTTTCTTATTTTATGTGTATATTTGGTTAGCATACTGTGCTGATGAATGTTGATCTGAAAGCAAACTGGAGAAGGGAATCAGCTGACCTCTAACAAGTCACTAATGTTAATGTTAAACTTAACTGTTAATAAAAGAGGGAAGAAGCCTCTAAAATACCCAATAATTTCAAGAACTTGAGTCAAATTCTCTACTTTAAAACTGTTTCCTGAAGTCAGTTGTAGCATAACTTGTTTTTACTTGCTTCTGGTACTGAAAATTTAAGTCACGGAAGCAGAAGGGCTTCTGTTGGACAATTGCTTGCGGTTCAGAAGCACGAAGCCGGCTTTCGTTTTAGCTTTCCAAACCCTTGAGTAAAAGCATGAGCAAGGGTGTTTCAGATAATACCCCCTTGCTTGTTCCCAGGCTGTAAGTTTGGCTTCACTTAAGACCTTTTTGGTTATAACCTCAGGATGAGCCCTCATCTGAGGGTGAAAAGGCATTCTTGTAAATGAGACCACCTCTATGTAATTGTCCTTACAAACAGGCAGGTAAGGAAGCTTATGTTGAAGAGGTAGGCAACCTTTGTTTCCAGTTGCCCTGTTGCAGTTAACATCCCTTCAGATTCCCATATTCCTTTTGTTACTTAATCTACGGCTCAGCAAGTTATTTCAGGCACAGTAAGTGAAGAATCATAGCTTGTGGGGACTAACTTCCCATGTACTACGAAAAGCCAGTCAAGCAAAACAGTAAGACTTTGAACTGTGTTGCTTTGAAGAGTTTCAAACTAAGGTGATGCCTTGCTTGAACATATTTAACAGATGATGACTTCAGCATGATCTCTTATAGACAAGACAACTACAAGTGTGTGTGTGTAGTTCATAGAGAAACATGAGAGGACACAAATATCTGTCTAGTTTTGGCACTGAGGCTATTCCCCAGTTCAGTGGGGACCAACTCCTCTAGTAAGACTAGAGGCCTTACGCTGTTCAAAAAAGTTAAAGGTTTTTGGGCATGGCTAGTAGAAAAAGGGAATGTCTTCAAGATGCTTTTTCTGAATGTAACTGAATGTAGTGCTAAACACTGTCTCAAAACTTGAGGCAAGTAACTTTTCAGATCTGTAATTTAGATTTTTCTTTGAATAACCCTTATGCAACTCTTTCCTTTTACAGAGTTTGTACAAATGATGACAGCGAAGTGAAGACGTTGTACAGAATGTGTTAAATTTCTTGTACAAAATTGTTTATTTGCCTTTTCTCTGTTTGTAACTTATCTGTAAAAGGTTTTTCCCTTACTGTCAAAGAATATGCATGTATAGTAATTAGAAGGCCATTCCTCCATGTTTTTCTCCTTTATCTTACTGTCATTGTTCTGATTTTTGGAAAATTGATCAAAGTAACAAATGTTGCATGTGGCTTACTCTGGATATTTAAGCCCTTCTGCACATCTAAAGTTAGGTGGAATTGGTTACATGAGGGAACATCTGGGTTGTCTGTTTAAAAAATAGCTTGCTTTAGGAGACTTAGGTGTGACTGATGTAACAAGTTACACAAAGTAAGTTAGGGTTTACTGTGTACTAGCTATTCCTTTGTTAAAGCAGTATGCTGGCTCTAGTTCTCCAGTAATCACGAGATAGTTTATCTGCTTTCTGTGATGGAGGATGAGGACTCTTGCACTCACCTGCAAGATAAAACCATATAAGCAGTACATAGTGAAAGTGGCTAGTGCACTGTAAAAATCACTCTCCTAACTTGCTTCACAGTAACTTGTTTGTGGCCATACCTGTAACATGTTGAAATGTGGAGTCTTAACTTTGTGGACGATTGACAGTCAACAATATGAAACTTAAAAGTTGCACTAATGCAAAACGGGTGTATTATCCAGGTACTCGTACACAATTTTTTTGTACTGCTGGTCCTGTACCAGAAAACATTTTCTCCTCTTGTTACTATGCTTTTTAAACTTTGTTTAGCCACTTATTTTCAAAAATCTGCTTATGGCACGATTTGCCTCAAATCCATTCCAAGTTGTATATTTGTTTTCCAATAAAAAATTACAATTTACCCATACTGTTTCAATGCATCCTTGAGTTATTTACAGGATTTGTTCAATACAGTTGCTGCTCTAATGTTTCAGTATGTAGCAGTTTGGTTTGCTTATGCAATGGATTGGCTGTCTTAAAATAGCTTGGAAGGTGAAAACTTAGACCTTAAACTCTGGCCCTTAATGGTATTGTTGACTTGGAGAAGCTTTCTTACTAGTAGTTTAAAATGTATTTTACAGTCTTGTGTGGAGCTTGGTGCTTCAATAAACTTAACGTAGTGACTGGTTATGCCCACTATTTGTAGACATTGTGAACTGGATGTTGACCTAGTTCAATAGTTGACCTAAAATTAAAATTCCTTGTTCAGACAACTAAACCTGTTTGCTTTCTTAATTATTTGGATTTTATTCCCTATCATCTGGTACCTTGGGGTAACTTAATATCACGTCTGGACTTTTCTGAAACTATGCCAGAGTCCTTTGCCTTTCAGGATGCAATCAGCTCAGTGTATATTATAAGAAAAACCTCTTCCCAATCTGCTAATGAGCATGACTGCCTGTAGCACTAGTTTGGGGTCAAAGCTTTAAAACTTCTAATAAAAAATAAAACCCATTTTGTCCTTGGCCAAAATTAAAAGACCTCAACAGCATACCAGAGACTTGTGCCACTTTTTACTCTCCGTGTAAGAATTGGCTAATCTTAACACATGATATTGTTATTTTGGTTGGAGCTTCTGCCTGCCTTTAAACGAGGCACTGGCCCCTGCTTCTGGTAACCCTCACTGGTCCCAGCAGAGCAGTTTGATAATGCATTACAGCTTATGTAACATCTGTGGGGTATTTACAGTGAAACTGGACAGCTGATAACCCTGATTTCAGAGATGCTAGATAAAATTAATGATCCCTGACCCTCAAAGGCCCTGCTCCATAAGATCTATAAGCAGCTCTGCTGGTCTTCCAGAGGATGCATGCCAAAAGCATTTCAATGGCTAGCCTCAGTTTCTTAGAACAGTGCTTTGCCTATTGACAATTGGATTCAGGAAGTTTATGTAGCCTTAAATACAATATCTGTCAAGGCTTGCCCTCTACAAAATGAGTGACCAAATCAATGTTTCTTATCCACTCTTCATCCTGTGACCTAGCAGGCTGGACATATGACATCTGCTTTTAAACTGGTGCAGGATGAGAAGAATTTGACAGGGTACAAGAACCAACACCTCAGATCCTAAATCTTAGGAATAATGAATGTGACCTTTCTTAGAGGTAAGTAAAGCAAACTAAGACCTGACAAGAGGCTGCATTTGTGTGCCAACCCAATGTCTTGACTTCCAGTGGCCTGGGAATCGTATTTTGAACTGGCATCCTCGACTCAACGTGCGTTTGAAAGTGTCTGAATTGCTAGGGTTGAGAAGAAAGGGAGAGGGCTCTCTGTTATGAGGGACTGCCTTAGCTAAGATAGATGCCTTTTGCACAATGAATAAATTTCCTTTGGAGGAAGGCACCTTTTATTTACTGTTGCATTTTGGTTGCACCCTATTCAGTGTTTGGTCACAAGAATCAAAGATGCTATCTTTGTTTAATGTGTCTGTTGCTGAGGTAATGCAATGGCTGTTTTTTTTTTTAGGGTGAGCTCTACTTTACATAGTACTTTAACTGCAGAACAGGAGTAATACTTTTTTCAGCACTTCCTGCTAATAGAATAATGTATCTTTTGAGGTACACACGAGTTAAACGTGGTGGAAGCTAATGGCGTTGATCTCTTGTTTTTGAATATTTTGGTGGAGGCCCTGAAGATGTTTTCAATGCTATGAAACAGTCTAGGTGTTGCAGTCCTTAAGTCATTCTAGTAAACCTCTGGATGCATAGGAGTCTCTGAAACTACAAATTCAGCTCTGGGCAGCTTGCTAAGACATTATCCTTGAGCTAGTTCTGCTAACTCAAACATGGTGAAGCTTCTTGTGCTCCCTACTACAACAGCAAAAACAAACTTGTGTAGTACACACTGTGGTAAAACTCCCAGTGGTGCCTAAGTTTGCTTTCTAAAATGAAGGGTGAGGCTGTGAGATGTTGTGGCTAAGGACTGTCCACAAGTGCGTGGTGCGATGCATGCAAGTCACAATGCCCCTGCTAGTGTAATAGAAGGGTGACTGTGGTAGAGTGCGTGTATATATAGTGGTGTTATTCAGCAAAGGCAGATGAGCAGTTGCTGCTACAGCCTGACACATCTTAACAAGGAGCCTGTAACTTGCCCTAAGTAGTGATAGGAGTCATAGAAGAGGACTATAGCTAGTAAAGACGCAATGAGAGAAGATGCTGGGACGCTATGGACCTCAAGCCTGTTTCAGCTTGAGGTCTATTACAGCAGCAGAGCGTGAGTCTGTGAGCCTTTTTGAAAAGGTACTCTCACAATCAGTTGTGGCTGTGTGGGATTGCCTATGCGAAATAACTCACTGTATGAGGAGTAGTAAGTAGCTTGTGGTAGCCTGTTAAGATAAAGCTAATAAACTAGGGACAGCCAATCAGTCAGGGAGAAAGTAAGTTGAAGGCTGAGAGTATGCCAATGAGGGTAAGGGTAAGGCAAGCCATTTGAGGGAGACCATACTTCAGAAAGTAGAAGAGCATAATACAGGAGTACAGCTGCTTGGACCCATGGCAGGTAATGTAGACGAGGGGTTTAGTCTTTGCGTTGTTGATCTCTTGAGGATTTGGCTCTGCAGGGGTAAGGTAAATGAGTTTGTGCGACTTCACAATGGTCCCTTTCAGGAGTTGCTAGGTAACAAGTTGGATATAATGAGTAGTGAAGCAACTGTCCTGATATACTATAAAACTATTATACATGTATAGCTGTACTGTGTCTCTCAATCCTGTCCAGTTAAGAGAAAAGCTACATTGAACTAGCTCTTTTAAGTGTTCAGTTTACCAAAGAGCTTCTATAAAGTGAATCTTCAAAAGTAATCATACTCTTTTTCCAAATGAGAAAAGTAGATATTTGAGATGACAATTGAGATAGACTACACATCCCAGTGTATTTTTAAGTAAGCAATCCAATCGTCATGTTCAGCCGAAAGGGACAGTGGTGGAAATAACACGAGTACTGTATGATAAATCTGTGCTTCTTAACAGAGTTCTGAAAAGGAGAGAGAATCATCTTTGGGGCAGAGAGAGAGATGGTGGAGAGTTTACCTTAGAGTACGTATATTTTTAGCTCTTATGTATCTCTTCAGCAATCTTGGTACTTACACCTGTCACTGAATGAGAGCAACCGTTGCATATCTACTTCATTTCCTGATTTTGAAAGAAGTTATTTATTCACAACAATAGTCACACTGTCAGATTATTTGCCCTCTGTTTTTGAAGAACTGAGTGTCAAATAGGTATGTGTACACTAAAATAAATGCATTTTTAAGGACTTGCACTAAACTTATGAACTAAAATTCACAAGGGAATATCCGGGAAGCCTGAATTTCCAGTGTCTGTTAAGTGCAATCTTAATGGCAGACAGCGTCACCTTCAGATGATGTAAATTGCTGTTTCAGTTTTGAAATGAGGCTTCCTTCCTGTTTGTTCCTTTAAAAAACAAAAACAAAAAAAACCCTACTGCTTTCTGAATATGAGCTATGCAGAATAACACTTATTTTGGTGCCTTGAACTGGAGAGCCCTGAGATAATGGTTTGGGAAATTGCACAGAGATCTAGCCCAAAAGGAATACCTTAAGATCAGGCTTTTGAAAGACCTAAAAGATTCAGTTAAAAACCACCCTTAACACTAGTAGCCTAAATAAGAGAATTTCTACATTATGAATAAGCACTATTCATAGTTTCAATAGAGTAATCAAGAATGGATCTCCAGTTTATAGGATGCCATATGTATACAGAGTAGCAGATGGTTCCTGCTATAAGATGTTATAATACAAACAAGCACAGGATATCATGTGGTATCATGTAATAACAGCACATGGTGGATTGGCTTTTCTTAAGAGGAGCTGAGCTGGAAATAAGAATGAAAGAAAAGGGGACAGGGAAGAGGATGAAAGAATATAAAATAAAGCTTGGAGGAGAATCTGTGAGGAAAAGAATGTTTGATGGAAACATCCTAACTATTACACTGTTCTCTGAGTATTACCAAGACCTATCTTTAATGGAGGTCTTACTAACTGGAGTCCCTGGCTGGTTCCTGAAGCTGGCCTCCTGTGGGAATCCTAATGACCTCAGACTGAGAGGCTGCTAGTTAAGCTTGTA